AAAGAATTCCGAGCAAGGCAACAGAGATATTCTACACCTTTTGAGAAAACCCTCTTCTCTACTGCCTTCTGTGCTTTCATTGTTAATCACACTTGTTCTTGGAGATTGACATTCTACAGACTTCTACCATTTGTTGTCTCCATTACCCAGGTGTGTCTGTTCTTATTTTTATTACCTTCATCCTTTTTGTATTGGTGAAAAGGAGGTGTTTTCTCTAGTGTGATTCTAGGGAGATGTTCATCCTTAGTGGGATTCTAAGGAGGTGTTTTCATCATTTGATTTGTTCAGAGGAGGTGTTCATCCCTAGTGAGATTCTAGGGAGGTGTTCATCCTTAGTGGGTTTCTAAGGAGGTGATTGTCTTTTTAATTAGTTTACTTTTTACTGGTTCTTCTGCTGAGTTGATTGTAATTTGTAAACTGAATTTGAAAGATAGTGAATGGGGAGTCACTCTTGTGTTAAGAGTTGACTGGGAACTGGATGTAGGGTTGACTATACCCGAACCAGTATAAATCTCTGTGTGTTTTTCTCTTTCCCTTATCTTTTTCTCTTTTCCTGATTATATTATCGCTTCCGCTTATTATCTGTGTTCAAACAAATTATTGACTCACAAATAAATTTTTAATTTGACATCTATTTTAATTTGTGTATCTATTCACCCCTCTTTAGATACCATTTGTCTAACACTCATTGCTTCCCATTCAAACATTCTTTGCACATCCATGATGGATGTGTCAATTTTGGCAAACACATTACTATCTTGTTCTTTACAAAGTATTGAGTCCATTGAAACTCAAATGGGCATAACGATATTGCCAAATTGACTAATATTTTCTATTATAATATTGAAGCAGGTTATGCCAAGAGTTAGAGTTATTAATGTTATTTCAAACATGTGATTAGAGTACATCACAAAGGTCATAATAACACCTCTATGAAAGTGATAGAACTTACACATATTATTTGGAATAAGTATGATTAGGTCTTTTTCTTGATGTTGTCCAATACTTAACAAATTATTCTTTAGATCAGACACATAGAAAACTTCAATTATCACTTGTATTTGGTTATTAATCTACAATTAAACATTCTTTTTGTCTTTCACCGCAAAATTGCATTATTTCCTAGCTTTACATTGTCTGCAAAATGTCCATTAAGATATGCAAATTATTCATTTTTATTGCACATGTGATTGCTAACTAGAATTAAAAAAAAAATTAATCCCACAAAAGTTTTCTATTTCCAATACAAGTCTGAGCAACATTTTTTTTGAAGTTTTTGTATGATTTTCCTTACTTTACATTACATTGAAAATGTCCTAGTTTATGGAAATTAAAGAACTCAATGGTGGATTTGTCAAAATTTTCACTTTCTCATCCTCGTCTTTTTCTGCAATAACCATCACGACCTCTACCTTGATTGGAAGGTTTCCAATGAGTCACCTGTAAAACTTGTTTGTTGTGTAGGCTAATCATTCTTTGCCCATGTATTGTAAATTGCTTTATAATTCATCTATGGACATAATGTTAGTGTCTTGTGTCTCTTCAACTAAAGAAGTAACATAATTTTAGAGTCACAAACCACAACATTTTTTCTATTACTTTTATATCATTTTTGGTTTCATCATTATTTGTTGTCTTGTTTGCAATCATAAGTACACTTGCAAAAAAATCCACAATTTCTCCATGCTTCATGTGGAACACCTCAAATTCCTACCTCAATGCTGGTAAGTACGTTTGTTTCACCTACGTCAATTCTTGGTACTTCTTTATACTTCTTTTTCATAAAATTTCATATGCATCTTGAAAATAAAACGATGCAAGATTTAGGAAAAATAATTCTTCATTTTTAAGTCTTTATTTCTTTATTTTTTGTATATCTCTTTCGATCATCCTTCCTAAAAATCATCTTAAAAATGAAATGATGTAAGATTTGAAAAAAATAATTCTTCACTTTTAAGTCTTCAAACTTTTATTCTTTAATTTTTCTTGATTTGTCTTTATAAATATTTTTCCTAAATCTCAATTTCTATTAGGACTTTAATATTCTTTAAAATTTTAAAATTTCTTCACCATTATCGAATCATATGATGACATTAAAATTTAAAAAGTGAAATTTACATAAATGTATTTTTTTTATTGTCATTACTTTTTAACTAACTACAATTATGATATATCATGTCTACTAGATATTCTAATGTTAAAATATTGCTTAACATATTTTAAATATGTTTATTTATGAAATATAAAAAATATATAATTAACTTCAGATATTAATTTACTAATATCTAGCGACTACTCAAAAATAACAAATAAAAAGTAACATTCTTATTCAAAATTAATCAACTTCAAAACTTATTCAAATTCAATCTGATACATAAAAGTATGATTTGTTTAAATCAAATTAATAATTTTGCATTATCTATAAATAAAATTTAAAATGATTTGTAGAAAAAATAAATTTTGTAATTTGAAAAATTCAAAAGATAAATAGTAACTATTCAGATTTGTAATGAAGATATTTTCATCAATAGTCTTCCATATGTTACGTTCTTATAAATTTCTATTTCAGACAACGCTTAATTAACTTAAGTGTTACTTGGTACTCCACTCTAACATCTCTTGCTAAAAGTTTCTCTTTTACCTGTTTTTATGTTTTCTTGAAGTCTATAAGAACACTTCTAAAAAAAATGGAAGTATTGGGCATGAATTTAGATTCTAATGGTGCATGCTATAAAGTTGTTTTCAAGTTCCTCAGTTTTTCCCTATTCCCTTTACTACTATTTAATATGACATTTTTAAACTAAAGACATTAATCGAGGTTGACAATTGACGCCGCCTCATTTGTTCTTGAAACACATGCGGGGCCATCACACAGGGACAATATTACCTCAGATTATAAGAAATGACTCATGAACTTGAAATTTCAACGTTCAACGTTCAAACAATCGTTGCTACTTTTTTTCTTCTAGAACAAAAAATAAAACAAACCCTAGCTGTCAAAAATAACAACGAATGAAAGCTTCCCAGAATATTTGTTCAAAAATGAATTTTAATCATGATACATCTATTATTTTTAGTAATTATGTCAACGATAACTTCTGACAATTTTTTATTAGTAATGATTTTTTTAATACAGACAATTAATATTTATAATATTTGAAAAACTTATAAATCACATGGAAGGATACAATATATAGCTATGATACTTTCACGGACTTTTTATAAAATGTAACTTTGTTTATATAGTTTTATTGTTAAATTTCAATTATTTTGATTATGTATATTAAATTTTAGAATACATAAATAACATGAAACGGTAATAAAATTATTCATATCACGTAAATTTTGATACATATAAATAAAATATTAAATAATTTTATATTGGTATAATATTTTGTAAATATGATCTTAGAGAATGTTTTTAAAATACTATCGATCATTAAATCAGTCAAAATATAATTTTTAAAATTTTAACATTTAATTAAAACTTAATCGGATCTTATTAAATTTAATAAAATAATGTTTTTGTAATATAATAAATATATAATAAATTTTATAATAATAATATTTTTTTATGAAAAATAAAAATATTATTATTATAATTATTATACGTTATAAATATAAAATATATTAAAAATATATAAATAAATAATAATTAAAATAAAATAAAAATATAATCAAATAATTATTATTTAAAATTAATGTCATTAATATAAAATAAAAAAATAAAAAAAATAATATTTTTATAAAAAAATTATATGAAAATTTTTTATCTTAATTTTCTTTTTACTGATATTCGATAAAAAAATCTAACCCATTTTTTTTAATATTTTTAGTTTTACATCAATTTAATTAAATTGACTATGAGTACCATTATCTACCCTCCGTTCAAAGTAATTCGATTGATTCCATCAATTACAAGAAATTAAAAAAAAAATAAGTTAGATCAAATCAATCTATTTTCTTCGATTAATATCCATTATTTCTCAAAATATTCGAAATCATTTTAAAAATATATTTTGACAGACCAAAATTAATCCAATAATTTTTTTCATAATTAAATATTTCTTAAATATTAAAAAAAAAACTTTTGAAAAGCTTTTTAAAAACATTACTTTTATGAATGGATTGGATACCCGTCTCTGAAAAAAAAAATTAATAATGGGTTGAATTTTTATTAAATGGATCAAATTAGATCAATTTTTCAATTAAAATTTTAATAAATCAGAATAAATTAATATTTTTTTATTCGATTCAATATAGTTTAAAATAGATCATTACTAGTGTTACTAATAGTAAATATAAAAACAAATATTCAACCTTCCAAAGATGAAAACCATAATTTTTAGAAGGACTAAAATTAAAATTTACTAATTAATAAAAATTAAAATCATATCTAAATTTAAGAATTAAATCATATTTAAATTAATAACGATCTTAACATAATATTAATTATATATCTAATCAAAATTACTTTTAATTATAAAGTTATTTGTTAAATTTGTCATCTTTTTTTCGTATATTCGTATATTATTATAATTGAAAAATATGTTTAAATTTTAGAAAAATAAAAATAATATATAACTATTTTTATATATTTGATATATTAAATATTACATGTTTCTAAAACTTGTATCCATAAATTAATTTTCCTAATAAAAAAAATTACATCATTCTTTATATATATATATATATATATATATATATTTTAATTTTAAGTGATAATAATATATTAAAATTAATTTACTCTTAATAAGTAAATTTGGAATAGGCGGCTTGAAATAATACATAATAAATAAATCATCAATTCAAACTTGCAAGAAAGAACCAGGAACGGTGAACTTCCACATCATTTCATCACTTTTCCCTCCTTCTACACCTTCCATTCTTCTCTGTAACTAACTTGTCGTCGAAGTTTTTTTTCTCTCTGTGCAAAAAGCGCTAGGGTTTCTGAATCCGCTGTGCTAGCTCAACACCTTCATCATCTTCTTCTTCACAAGATGACGAGCATGGAGAGCTTAATCGGTTTGGTGAACAGAATACAGCAGGCATGCACCGTGCTCGGTGACTACGGCGGCGCCAACGACAGCAACGCCTTATCTTCTCTATGGGAAGCACTTCCTTCCGTCGCCGTCGTCGGCGGCCAGGTCACCACCATCACCATCACCATCACTAAACATGAACATGCTCTGTTCTTAAAGATAGAAATCATCCAAAAATAAAGGAGAAAACTAACTCAAGTAGAACTTAGGTGCCGTTTGTTCCAATACGTCCTGATCTTCCGTGTGTGCAGTAGAAGTAGAACGATCCATCAATAGGAAGATAAAACTTTCATACAAGTTTTTGGTGCTGTTTATGTTGTTCTGGAGTCTAAATTAGAGTTTCATCTTGATAATCAAACCCCGTGATCTTTCAATACAAACTTTTATTAGGTTAAGTGAGCTCCAATCGAAGAATAGCCAAACAACACCTGTGAGGAATTGTACAGTTTTGTTCCAAAACTTGAACATGTTCTGTTGCTTGTATCCTAGGAGTACAAGTTAAACCATCCAAAAATTAAAAGAGAAAGCATAGATACAATTTCTTTGGCGTTGTTTGTGTCGTTCTCGAGTCAAAATTAGAGTTTTACCTCCATAATCAATCTGTACAATCCTGTAATACAAATATATGTTATGCGAAGTAAAACTTCAATTGGAGAGCAAACATAAAAAACACTTGTATATGTTTTGTTGTATCGTAGGAGTAGAAGTAGAACCATCCAAAAATCAAAAGAGCAAACATAGATACAATTTCTTAGGTATTATTTTCTGGCCAAAATTTGAGTTTCACTTTAGTAATGAATCTACATAATCCTTTAGTACAAATCTTTGTTCAATCGTTGAATAAGAGCCATTAAAAAATAAAATCAATTTATTTGTTTATTTATTGGAAATGAATACAGAGTTCGGGTAAGTCTTCGGTTCTGGAAAGCATCGTTGGACGTGACTTTCTCCCTAGAGGATCAGGTTCTCTCTCTCTCCCTCCTTTTTTTTTTTCTATTTATTAGACGCAGTTTGAATAAACTTCACAACAAGAGGAAAATAAGAAACATAAAATGAATTAAACTTCTTTCATCATTTTAATTTTTACAATCTCTCTGGTTTGAATTTATTGAAATGTTTGTTTTAACGAAGTCTTAGTTAATTTAGCTAATTAATTTACTAAATGAATTTGAATTTGAGTCTGTGCTTGAATTGCAGGGATTGTGACGAGGCGTCCATTAGTGTTGCAGCTTCACAAGGTTGATGGCAAAGCGAAGGAGTATGCAGAGTTTCTTCACATGCCAGGGCAAAATATAACTGATTATGGTAATTTGGTTCAGTAACTGATTTTGCTTGGTGCATGTGTTATTTTGTGTTCCTATTATGTACTTAACAGTTTACTACTTTTCACAAGTTATGTTGAGCTTTCTGCTGTAATGAATATATTATGTTGAACCATTTTGTTCTTTTATTTTCTCCGATCCTGTTATGTTTCAATTGTTTTGCTGCGTGTCCCCTATAATCGTGGTGTAGTATATTTTAGGTTTTGTTGTTAAACTCGTCACCAGCGTTAGTTAACTGTGGCATTTGCTCTTTCAAGCGATTTGTTTAGTCATTATCCTTGAACTAACAGTTCGCTAGCAATTTATCGTGCCATCATTATTCATTGTACTGCTTCATAGTTAGCTTACTAGTGCAAATATTTGTGTGTTACTGATAATTTAACCAATATTTTCATTCCTTTTGTTTTTTTTTTTAATTTAAAATTTGAATTTCCTTTTGCAGCCGTTGTTCGCCAGGAAATTCAGAATGAAACTGACAGAGTAACGGGGAGGACAAAACAAATATCTCCTGTTCCAATTCATCTTAGCATTTACTCTCCACATGGTGCGCTTTTATTGTTATTGCCTCTTACTACTTAATACTAGATGGATGGTTTGCAGCAAGCTCATGTTTTTGTTGTCTATTTTTTAATTAAAGGATTTTTATTGAAATAAAGAATGAATACGACACAGAGGGAATAGTATGCTCATACCATTTCAAAAGAAAACAAAATGCAATAGCCCAAATAGTGTGTTGATCAATATAACAGCTTATAATCTGTTTGCTCGTATGTGAAGTAAGCTCGCTCAAAATAATCATTGGCTGAACAACATATGGGATTCAACAATTTCATTGTTCAAAATGAGATAACCCCCAACGGAGGAAGGGAGGGAGGAAAGGAGGAGTGAGAACGTTTATTATCCTTCTAAATCTTTAAAATCTTTAATTACTATCATACCCCCTTTACATGCCATTGAATATCATTAAGGATCTGGAAGAAGCATCTACAACTGTAAGAACCATAGGAATCCAAGGTCCAGAATCCCCTGTCTGCATTTGAAGATAGGCAGAGTTAGGTAAAGAAAGAAGTGACAACAAATCAAAAGCCTTTACATGCATTTAATTCAGGGAAAATTAGATACTTCGCCAAATTCTATAAATCTGGGTTATTAGGGGATGGCATAAAAATGTAACAGGATGGCAAAGGGAAAGACTAAGAAAAAAGTAATATCACCAATCTAAATATTTTTGAAAACCTACTACATGAACCATTTTCTATCCTTAAGCTATTACAAGAACGAAGAATAGCCTAAAGAAATGGATTTACCGAATACCAGAGTAGCATGACTTTACCTAGGTCTAGAGGTGCTTCTTACCCCCATAACTTTTTGTGTCATTCCAATTTCCACCTGCTTACAGAGGTTGCTTTTTGTGTCACCCCCACCGGTTTAACAAAGCAGAATTAGAACATCTTGAGGGGCTACACTTAGAGCTAACAAAACGGGTATGATAAAATGGGCTTGTTCAAATCCAAACTGAAAAAGTAATAATAATATAAATTGAAAAATTGAAGTCGGTCAATTTTAACTAGCAGTCTCGCAGATGAACCCCTTTTTAAGAATAATGACTATAATTTTAAAAACTGAAAATACTATTATTTTGTTAAAACATGTTAAAAAAAATATATATATATATATATATATATATATATATATATATATATATATATATATATTTTAACATGTTTTAACAAAATAAATGAGACCAAAATGCTCCATTGGTCCGATACAGAGCTGAACCAATTATTTTTGGTCCATTTAGAATATGAGTAGAAACGGGTTAGCACCATTTCTTCACTGCCAATACACTATCACTTGCTATCTTGGTAGTTACAGCTACCTAGTTTACAATTTACCCTTGACCTTGCTCATGACTGTTTCAATAGATTTGAAGTGTTTCAACCTTGAAAGCACTAGTCAATTTTCTTTTTAATTTTACTCATGCCATTCATTAATAATGTGAGTTTATTTACTAGTATTACTTTTGTGTATAATTATGAGGCATAAAATGAGACTAGTAATTCAGTTGTTATGTATGTTTCCTAATTCAATCTCTTTGTTTGTTTGAGCAGTTGTCAACCTAACTTTGATTGATTTGCCTGGATTGACTAAAGTTGCTGTAGGTATGATTTGCATTCAATTGCTCACTGTAATTTTGTTTGGATAATGTGATACTTGTTTTTAGTTTGTACTGATTAGCAATTGTCATTTTCAGAGGGACAACCTCAGACTATTGTTGAAGACATAGAAAATATGGTTCGGTCTTATGTTGAGAAGGTAAAAGAATTTTCTACTTTTGCTTGATTTCTCCTCACCATTACTATCGAGTAACCTTTGATTGGATGATGCATCATTATTTCATTTATCGAACTCTTTTCTTTTGACTTTTTTTCGTTGAGACTGGAGATATAAACTGCCTATTTTCAAACCAAATTCTTTCTCTATTTCTATGGTGATGAGCAGTTGATTAACATTTTATTACCTTGTTGAAATGTTTATTAAAAATAAATTAGTCAGCAAGTGGTGATGGTGCTAGATACATATTTTGCTTTAACTGATACTATACTTGATTCTTTGACAGCCTAATTGTATTATACTGGCAATATCTCCAGCCAACCAAGACATAGCAACTTCTGATGCTATTAAACTTTCAAAGGAGGTGGATCCCTCGGGTATATAAATTTTATATGGAATGATGGCTTGTTTCTTTCATTTACTCGAGTCATAGTTTATCACTTGTTTGTCACTGAAATCCTTGAGTGTAAACAATCTAGGTGAAAGGACATTTGGAGTGTTGACAAAGCTGGATTTAATGGACAAAGGAACTAATGCATTGGATGTAATATTTTTTTCTCCCTCTAGCATGTTCCCTGTCCTGTCGTGGTTATGATATATACCTTTAAGCTCGAGCAGCGCCCTGTATAACCATATAATTAGTTTGCCTTAACCATTTTTTTCCCTTAAGGTCCTGGAAGGAAGATCTTACCGTCTACAACATCCCTGGGTTGGTGTAGTAAATCGATCCCAAGCAGATATCAATAAAAACGTTGATATGATTGTTGCTAGACGTAAGGAGAGTGAATATTTTGAAACCAGTCCTGACTACGGGCACTTAGCCAATAAAATGGGTTCCGTATACCTTGCAAAACTTCTCTCGCAGGTTTGTCTTTCAGAAAGCTGTTTTTTGTCCTTCTTTTATGAGTATGTCTTATTTTAATCATGTTAACTATTTTGTAGCATTTAGAGACAGTAATTAGGGCACGGATACCCAGTATAACATCTTTGATAAACAAAACAATCGAAGAACTTGAATCAGAGATGAATCAAATTGGGAGACCAATTGCTGTTGATGCTGGGGTGAGTGGTTTACATTCATGATTATTTCCTAGAAGTGTGTAGTCTTTCTATAATATCCTGCAGAAGAATATTTTAACTACTCTCTCATACAGGCTCAACTATACACCATCCTAGAACTATGCCGCGCATTTGATAGGATATTCAAGGAACATTTAGACGGAGGGTAAATACATGCTATGATATTCACTTTTACTTTATTAGACTAGTTTATTTGAATTTATTTGGAGGGTAAATATTTGCTATAATGTTCAATTTTACTCTATAAATCTAGTTTATTTGATTTTATATTTTGGGTGGATAGTATCTTGTTACTGTAACTTGATTATTTTCGATCATCCTGAGTTTGACCGTGTATGTTTGGGTTAGCTTAATTTGGATGAAATAGTTTTTTTTTTTTTTTTCTTGCGAGACCTTTTAAAAAGATAGAAAAAAATAACTATTTCCCAAATAAAGTCGTTGATAAACATGCACTTACTTCAAACTAGGTATTGTAATTTTTCCCCTATCATCGTCATGAATTAGATTTTATATCTAATTAATTCTCTTTTTTGTTTTTCGAATAGCTACATCCTACTTATAATCTGGTTTTGTTTTTGGTTCTTGTTCTTTTCTAAACAAAAGCACTATACTGATTTAATGTACCACCTGAATATGTTATAGCAATTTGGAATGATAGTCATGAAGCATCTTCCTGTTTGATCTACAAGTTGGCAGGCATCTTTGGTTACATATAACCCTTTTTTTTATTGTCATAGGCGAGCTGGTGGAGATAAAATCTATAATGTCTTTGACAATCAGCTTCCGGCTGCGTTACGGAAGCTTCCATTTGACCGTCATCTATCTCTTCAAAATGTAAGGAAAGTGGTATCAGAGGCAGATGGTTACCAGCCTCACTTAGTCGCCCCAGAGCAAGGTTATCGGCGCCTGATCGAAAGAGCTCTCAGCTACTTTAGGGGCCCAGCTGAAGCTTCAGTTGATGCAGTAAGTATACCTGGTTGTACTCTTTCTTTCTTTTTTTTGTTAATTAAAAGCATACGAAAAAGGTTAAAGCGGTTTTTCTTTGATTTCGATGTAGGTTCACTTTGTCTTGAAAGAACTTGTGAGGAAAGCAATAGCTGAAACTCAGGTAAAAATTTGGGGATTTTTTAGGAAATCTTCAGATACAGACCTACAGTATTTATTGTTAGTGTGGGTAGTTAAGCCAAAAGAGAAAAATAAAACTGTTTCTGTTTTAGTTCTGTGGTGTATATATACATCAGGTTAATAAAATATATTATCTTTTCTTGCAATTCTTTTCTCTAAAATCCTTTATGGTATCAGAGCTAGGTTGCGATAGAACCTAAGAAAGTTAAAGTGATTTCTTAAAAGTTGTTCCAAGAGAGTGGTAGAAGAACCTCACAGTTGGTATTAGTGTCAAGAAAGTTTGTGGTAAATATGGTTGGAATGGGAAGTATAATACAGGGAGGCTTGCCAATATTTGATGGCAAGATGTTTGAAGATTGGAAGATCAAGATGTTGGCTGTTTTTGGTTTCCAGGATGTTACAGAGGTGATAGAAAGTGGTCTTACGAAACCAGATGACAAAGCAACAGATGAAGAGAAGAAGAATTATAAGGTGCAGCATAAACTGGACAGCAAAGCCAGATTTTTGTTGTATCAATGCGTTGATTCAAAGATCTTTAATAAGATTTCCAAAGCTGAGACTGCAAAGGAAGCATGGACAATTCTGACAAAAACATATGGTGATGGAAACAAACACAAGAAAGTCAAGCTGCAAGCACTAAGAAGAAGGTTTGAATTTCTTGTAATGGCGGAAAATGAAACCATTGCAGAGTATTTTGATAAAGTTCAGCAGTTAGTAAATGCTATGAAATCGTGTAATGATAAAATTCCAGATCAGCATGTGGTAAACAAAATATTGAGATCCCTTCCTCAAAAATTTGATCATATGGTGATAACCATTGAAGAAACTAAAGATATGGAAATTATGGAGGTTGAGGAATTGCAACATTCATTGGAGGCACATGAGTATCGTATGAGTGAGCGCATGCACTATCAAGAACAGGCACTTCAGGCACAATCCCAGTACAAAGGGAAGGGAAAAGGATTCAAAACTAATAGCAAGAGTAACACCAAGTACAAAGAATCACAAGAACAAAAAGATGAAGATTCTGATGAGGCTTTTGAACGCAAGAACTACAAATCTTGCGCCAATTCTGATGGAGAAAAGGAATGGAAGTTTGACAAGAAGAAGGTAAAGTGTTACAACTGTAAAAAATTTGGTCATTTTGCCAAAGAATGTTGGAAAGGAGAAGGTGCAAAGAACAGACCGAAAAATCAAGCACACTTAGCACAAGATGACACATCAGATTTTGAAACTGTGATGTTGATGGCAAGAACGAATGCAGATGAGCCAGAAGATGTATCATGGTACCTAGACTCTGGATGTTCAACTCATATGACTGGAAGAAAGGAGTGGTTTGTAAAAATGCAAGAGGTAGCTCATGGGAAAATCCGATTTGCTGATGATAGAAGTTTAATTGCAGAAGGGTATGGCAGAGTGATGCTTCGAAGTAATGATGGAAAAGAAGTAGTGATTGATGAAGTATTATACGTGCCTGGATTAAAAACAAATCTACTAAGTCTTGGTCAGCTTTTGCAAAAAGGTTTTGTGATGAAAATGGAAAATAATTGTCTCAATATTTTTTATCAGAATAAGAAACTGATCATAGAAGCAAAATTGTCTCAGAATAGGACTTTTCGTGTTGTGATGAATGCTGTAAACTACCAATGTTTTGCAATGTCAGAAAGTGAGAAAGAGTGGTTGTGGCATTTGTGATTTGGGCACTTAAATTTCAGATATTTATCCAAGTTAAGTCAACTTACAATGATTAATGGCTTACCACATATTAATGTCCCTAACACTGTGTGTAAAGAGTGTATTCAATGTAAGCAAACTAGAGACAGTTTTCAACATGTTCTACCTCAAAAGACAGCAGAAAGGTTAGAAGTAATATACTCAGATGTGTGTGGCCCAATGCAAACTGAGACACCCGGTGGAAGCAAGTATTTCGTGTTGTTCATTGATGATTGGACTAGGAAGACTTGGACATACTTGATCAAGAGGAAGACTGAAGTACTTGAAGTGTTCAAGAAATTCAAAAACATGGCTGAGAAACAAAGTGATAAAAGGTTAAAAGTTCTAAGAACAGATGGAGGAGGGGAGTACACTTCAATTGAGTTTAACAAGTTTTGTGAAAGTGAAGGAATAATTCATGAAATTACTCCACCATACACACCAGAGCACAATGGAACAACAGAGAGGAAAAATAGAACCATCTTGAATATGGTAAGATGCATGTTGAAAAGCAAATGTTTGCCTAAATTTTTATGGGGTGAGGCTGTGATAACAGCTACATATATTCTGAATAGAACTCCCACTAAAAGGTTGAGGGATGTAACACCAGAAGAAGCATGGGCTAAAGTTAAACCAAGTGTTGATCATCTGAGAGTTTTTGGTGCAGTGTGCTACAAGCATATACCAGACCAGCTGAGGAGAAAATTGGATGATAAAGGAGTGCCACTGATACTTGTTGGTTATCATTCAACAGGGGGTTATAAGTTGTATGATCCTGAAACAAATCAAGTCACTATAAGTAGAGATGTAGTGATTGATGAGAATATTAATTGGAGTTGGAAGTCTCCCCAGCAAGAAAGTTCTAAGGTTTTACTTGATGATGATAAATTTGTGGTTGATGAGTCTGCAGCAGTTCACACAGATTCTGATGCTCAGAATGTAAGTTTGAGGAGATCATCAAGAACTACCCAGTTGCCACCTCATTTGAGAGATTATGAGATGTGCTATGATGCTACTGTCACTTCTGAAGGTAACTTTGTTCATTATGCTTTAATAGCTGAAGCTGAGCCCATTAATTTTGAACAAGCTACTAAGAGTGAGAGTTGGTGGAAGGCAATGCAAGAGGAGATTATGTCTATTGAGAAGAATCAAACTTGGGAATTAACCGAGTTACCTACTGGTAAGAAACCAATAGCCTTAAAGTGGGTGTACAAGGCAAAAGTGAATCCTCAAGGTGTTGTTGTCAGACATAAAGCCAGATTAGTGGCCAAGGGATTTTTACAGAAGGCTGGAGTTGATTTTAGTGAAGTATATGCACCTGTGGCCAAAATTGAAACAATAAGACTTGTGGTTTCATTGGCAACACATTTGCATTGGTCATTACATCAATTGGATGTAAAATCAGCTTTTTTGAATGGAAAGCTTGAAGAGGAGGTGTATGTGGTGCAGCCACAAGGTTTTGAAAATAAAGAGCATCAAAACATGGTGTACAAGTTGAAAAAGGCTCTCTCTATGGACTTAAACAGGCTCCAAGAGCCTGGAATCAGAGGATTGACAACTTCATGAGCAGTATTGGATTTGAGAAGTGTGCTTCTGAACATGGAGTATATGTGCAGTGCTATCCCAATGGAGAAAAATTGGAAAAACTAATAGTGTGTTTGTATGTAGATGATTTATTGATCACGGGAAGTAGTGAAGAGTTGATATCAAGGTTCAAACTTCAAATACTAAATGAATTTGAGATGAGTGACTTAGGCAAACTTAGTTACTTTCTTGGAATTGAATTTACAGCAACTAAAAATGGGATTGTGATGCATCAGTCACGGTATGCACAAGATTTATTGAGGAAATTTGAGATGCACAAGGGCAATGCAGCTAACACTCCAACTGAGGTGGGTCTAAGACTAGAAAAAGAACCAGAAGAAGAAGCAGTAGATCCCACTGAATATCGGAAAATGGTTGGAAGCTTGAGGTATTTATGCAATACACGGCCTGATATGAGTTACAGTGTTGGTCTTATTAGTAGATATATGCAGAATCCTAGATTGTCACATATGAATGCTGCCAAACGTGTTTTAAGGTATGTACAAGGAACATACAATTTTGGTATTCTTTTTCCAAAGAAAGAAGGTGAGTTAAGAATCACAGCATACTCAGATGTGGACTGGTGTGGGGATAAATGGGATAGGAAAAGTACAGCTGGATACATTTTCTTCCTTGGAGAATCACCCATTTCATGGAGTTCAACAAAGGAGCCAGTTGTAGCTCTATCTTCTTGTGAAGCTGAATATATAACTGCTTGTGAGGCAACATGTCAAGCTGCATGGTTGAGTTCTTTGATGAAAGGTTTAAAGATTGATTTAGTTGAAAAAATTAGGTTGCTTATAGATAACAAGTCTGCAATAGATCTTGCTAAACAACCAGCCTCTCATGGGAGAAGTAAGCATATTGAGACAAAATTTCACTACATCCGTGAACAAGTTAGTAATAGGAGTTTTGAAATTTTACACTGCAAATCTGAAATGCAACTTGCAGATGTACTAACGAAACCTTTGAAGTTTGATAGATTTAGAAATCTTAGAAAGCTTATTGGAGTTACAAATGTAAATGTAATTTTGGCTTAGGGAGGCATGTTAGTGTGGGTAGTTAAGCCAAAACAGAAAAATAAAATTGTTTCTGTTTTAGTTCTGTGGTGTATATATACATCAGTAAAAGGTTAATAAAATATATTATCTTTTCTTGCAATTCTTTTCTCTAAAATCCTTTATTTATAACTTCATTTTGATGGGAGAACATCAAAAGCATTTAAGGAACTGTATCTAAGTTATGTCCTTTAATTTATATTAACTATGTTCATAAGGTTCCTAGAATGGTCAAATATGAATTTGTGATTCAATAGGAACTGAGACGTTTCCCAACTCTTCAAGCCGAACTAGCTGCAGCTACAAGTGAGGCTTTAGAGAGGTTCCGTGAAGAGAGTAAGAAGACAGCTATTAGACTTGTGGACATGGAAGCTTCCTATCTCACTGTGGAGTTCTTCCGGAGACTTCCTCAAGAAATGGAGAAAGCGGCAAATCCAGCCAATCAAGCTACCCCAAATGAGGATCGATATGGAGAAGGGCATTACAGGAGGATTGCATCAAATGTATCTTCCTATATTGGTATGGTATCAGACACTCTCAGGAACACTATTCCAAAGGCTGTAGTTTATTGTCAGGTCAGAGAAGCAAAACTATCATTGCTAAACCATTTCTACACACAAATAGGGAAGAAAGAGGTAATTCTGCGCTTTAACTTTATTTTCTATGTTTTTCTGGTAACGAATATTAATGATGCGGACTAAATGTCTTAACCATGGAAGAATGATTGTACCTTGGATTTGCTATAGATATACTTCCAAAGATAGCCTAGGGGTGATTGTGTGAATTTTTATTTTGTTAAACTATTCATTTTATCTCTTGTTTCCATTTTAAGTTTTGATTTTTATTCGACAAAATTACAAGTACTGTAATTTTTATTTCAAGTATATTCTCAAGATTTGATCTGCTACTAATGTTGATGCAGGCTAAACAGCTATCCCAATTGTTAGATGAAGACCCTGCTTTGATGGAGAGGAGACAACAATGTGCTAAAAGGCTTGAACTATATAAAACAGCAAGGGATGAAATTGATTCTGTTTCTTGGGCACGATAAACTGCATATCATTTTTAGCGTATCTATTATTTTATTCTTCAGGCTTTTGTGTATTCATTGACATTAAAAACAAAATACGCCAATTTATATTCCTTTCTTGGTCGTAGGATAGTGATGGAGCTAATTGTTGTTTCTTGTCCGAAGAGGTTGTACATCAAGAGACATATATATTGTTTTATTTAAACTTAAAATTACATTTTTTTTTTAATTTCAACATTTTATTATTATTAATAACAATTTGATCTAACAAATTCTCATGTTGACCTTTTTTTTTACATTACCTAATTCATATGGGACCTTGTATTTGCACTCATTACCTTTTTATTTGTACACTTTTATAGTAGGTTTCTCCTAAATCACTCCCATCGGTTTCAACTTTTCATATAAGTTGATTATGCATCCGAAAGGAGTTGGACATGGTGATATCAGTATGGGATAAAGGTTAGCTTATGCATTCTTCCCGTGACAGTAACTTTACAGTACACTTGAAAAAAAAAAAAAAAACAGAATTTCGTTCAAATTTTCCTCTATCTGGTGACTACGCGAAAAATACTTTATGATTCCTAAAAATAAACTTGTTACCATATGTACAAATAGGTGAAACACCTGAGGATTGAACAAGTAATCCTTATGTTCATTCTTGTATAAGAATAATTAAGAAAATATCTATTCAAATGTTCCACTTTATGTTGTCTTTTTTTATTTATTAATAGATTGACTTTGCACATTAGAAGTAAAAGAAATTAGGTAGAACTTTCTAATTGTTGTGAGATATCATAAACATATCATATTTCTCCTCCAAAATGAAACAAAGAAGTAATTCCAACGTAAATATGAATACATAAATCATTTGTTTCATATCTGACCTAGTCTAAGCTTGACCCAACAACTCTAAGTCTCTTCTAGCCAAGAAGCGAGCAAGGTCAAGAACCCTTCAACATAGCTTAGAATAATTTTCCTTACTATATTAAGTTGTTTCTTTCTGCTCATCCGTGATATCATTCTGCACCCAATAGTTATTTTATAAGACGATATTACCCCCTACAATTAGAATGTTCCAGATTAACAAATTCGAATGGACAGATTTGAATATATATATATATATATATATATATATATATATATATATATATATATATATATATATATATATATATTCTGGATTATACTTTCTTTTTCAAATGGATCATATAATCTGAAACCTAAAACAAAAATGTGAATCAGTTTAGTGTAGGTTAGCTCCACGCACTGCAGTTCAACGGCAGGCTTTTTCACGAGATGGTGGAAAATAAAAATAAAAAAACTATTAAAAATGGACTAAATCCTGTGTGGAAAAACTATCATGGCACGAAGAAAACGTATTTTGAAAATCTTTTGATTTATATCTATATGGTCGATCTTGAGTAGGTATTTATGGTATTTGTGTAGCACGCCAACGACGATATGATGGTTGAGATTAAATGTTTGTTTGATTATCATCATTATCTCCATCATCTTCATTTACTTATTGTATAAGAGAGATATTAGGTATAATAGTGATGAAAAGTGTTTGATTATACATTGATGGTAGTGTCATGGTAGAGGTGAAAAACATATTTATTTCGGATGAAAAAGAAGTAAATGTACGAGAAATAATGAAAATTTCTAGAGTTTTATGTACATATATTTCTTATATATGAAAATTTACCTCGTATGAATATATATTTTATTCACGTACTTTATAAGAACATGACAAAATATTAAATATTAATAATATTTTAATCATTACTACCCTAAATCTTTTATCTTCCCTCTTAAAATACAATAAAAATCTTTTAAAGTAATATTTTTAACATTCCTCCTTAATTAACATGAAAAAATATTAAATATTAATAATATTTTAATCATTACTACCCTAAATCTTTTATCTACCCTCTTAAAAACACCCGTTTATTTGAATTTAATAAAAGTATTTATTCCTTTATCACCGACGTGATTCAAACCCAGCTTCTTAGAGTTAGAAGTCGATACTCCAACCACTAAGTTACCATAATCTTTCGATTATAGTTTACAATAAATTATATTTATATACAAATAAATGTATATCCAAATAAATATATAAATACAATATATTTATATATTTATATATTTATATATTTATATATTTATATATTTATATATTTATATATTTATATATTTATATATTTATATATTTATATATTTATATATTTATATATTTATATATTTATATATTTATATATTTATATATTTATATATTTATATATTTGTATATTTATATATTTGTATATTTGTATATATTTAGATATTTTTATATATAATTAAATATTTATTTTTTAAAATTATTTAATTTAATAAATTATTATAAATTAATCTAATTATGATTAAATTAATTTATTAAATAAAAAATATTTAATTTTTTAATTAGGTGAATAATTAATTTATTAGAATATATTTAAAATTAAGTAATTATTATATAATTTTAACGACGAATATATCCTTCCGTAAGTAATTGTTAATTTACTGAACGGATTTACCGACAAATATATCCGTCTGTAATTAATTGTTAATTTATCGACGAATATATCCGTCTGGTAAGACCAATTTCCACAAATACTTTATATCCGTTAGTAATTTCCATCGGTAATAACTAATTTTCCGACGACTACAAATCCGGTCGGTAAAAATCCGTCTGAAATAAGCAATTTTCTTGTAGTGACCTAAATCAAAATAACAACCTAATATCTTTTTATCTTCTCTCTAAAAAGATAATAAAAATTTCTTAATACCTAATTTAAATAAAAGACAATAAAGTAATATTTCCAACAAAGTAATATTTCCAACAAAGAACTTGTCCTCCAAATTGAGATTAAGCATGTAAATTTTGAAGTTGACAAACATATCAAAAGAATAGATAAGGTTGTTGATGACTGAACTTACCAACATGTTGATGACTCGACTTACTAAAATGTTGATGACTTAACTAACTAACATAAACATGACTAGGTTGACCAATATTTTGATATTGTTTTTGTTATTGTGTATTGTACTCGTTAAAAAAATCAATATTACTTTGATATCAATATCATATATATAAAATAAAATTATTGATATACTTATTTCGTTATCCGAATCTTCTTGAGTAGCGAAAATATATCCGATAGTATGCATAAAGTATCATATCATATATTGTGTATTTTCATAGAAGTGGTCACTCTCACAAGTAATCTAAGTTTCATAATATTGAGGCCAAAATCTATCATTTCTACTCATGTCTTTCTTGTGGAATTTGTCAAGATTGTTCTAGAATTGGTTGATGAAGACAAAATTATCACATAACTCGATTTGTTGAATGAGGCTCAATAGTAGCAAAATATATACCAAGACTTACAGGAGAAAACTCAACATTTATTAGTCGTCGTAACCCAGATTGAAGATAAGGAATCCACAAAAACTGTATTATTTTATAGAACTTGAAATTAGAATTATTATGATTTAGAAATACATATTGAAAGTTGTAATAAATAAAATACTTCCTTTATTTTTAATTGATCAAATGTTAGATGTAGTGCATGTATAACATATGTAATCACGTTAGACCTTTGACCTAGTCATGATCACCTGTTACATACAAAAAAATACTATTATAAAATTAAGTAATTTGAAAAAAAAAATGGAATAAAAATATATAAAATAAATTTGAATACCTTTAGTCAATGAAAAATCATACCCTATAACAATCTCCTCATTGGTTAAATATTTTACCTTAGGACAAATGCATGTAATATGGTCTCATGTCTAAGCTTGAAGTAATAACATGTATCCTTTAATGTTCTCCTGATAGTAGTCAAATGATTCTACGCTCCATACATACATACATACATACCAAGACAACTGATTCTCCACTATAGTTTGAAAATAGAGTTAGGTCCTGCAATAATAGGAGATGCATTAAATGTACTCTAAATATTGAAATATCAGGAAATAATAAACTACCCATTATTATAAATATGTGTGTCATAACATGTTGTGCCACAACATATCATCTATATCATCTGGAAGATGTTGAAACAAAATGTTTAACCAAGAGGGTTTTATTGTGTTCCCTATAACAACACCTTGCGGCGGGAATGGTTCGCATAAGATAAGACAATCAAATCTTCATGTTGAGACCAGTAACTAGCAGTTCATCAATTGACAAACCTAATTGCAAGACCACATCTTCTAATGTACCTGTGACTTCTTTGATGGAAAAATGAAAGGTATGAGTTTTAGTTCTCCACCTTTCAACTAGTGTTGTAATCAAATGATGATTGATATCAACAATTTCAATTGTCATCAACTATCCAAATTTAGTTTGATAGATCAAATTTTTAACCCGATCGTCCAACATGTGTACATGTTTTGTTATCCACATGTTATGTCGCCAATGATGCAATAATTTTTTATTTTTCTTCCTATAATACTTTTGTGACATGTTTTTCCTGAAGACGTGATAAGGACATATATGCAAGAAGATGACAAATGTGAGAAGCCACTTTTATAAATTACACATGTTAATATTAATAATATTAACAATAATATTAATAAAATGAAAATATATATATTAGTAACAATAATATTAACAAAATGAAAAATAACATAAAATATATTATTAATAATAGCAATACTAATACTAATAATAATAATAATAATAATAATTTAACATTAATAATAAAAAAATAGAAAACAAAAAAAAACAATATTAATAATAACATTAACAAAATGAAAAATGACAAAAAAATATTAAGAATAATATTAACAATAATAATAATAATAATAATAATATGAACAAAATAACAAAAACAAAAAAACTAAACAATAATATTAATAATATTAACAAAATGAAAAATAGCAAAAAAATATTATTTAACAATAATATTAACAAAATGGAAAATAGTAAAAAAATAATATTAATAATAATATTAACAAAATGAAAAACAAAAAAAATATTAAGAATAATA